AGTAGTATTATCATATTATTATTCATCCATCTGTCTGCTGGGATGTTGTAAAGATTGTGTGCAGCTCAGCCAAGGTCAGTCCCGACAGGCAGGTCGAAGCAGCCTTCCTCTGAAAGGAGCTAAATTTTGTCAGTGGTGCTGTTGAACATTCGCTTCTTCTTTCCTATCAAATGTCTATCGTATTTTTCTCCCCTCCTTTTTTTGTGTGTGTGTTACTCTCTTGTAACACCTCTAAATCTTCGGCACTTGTATGACCTTATTGTGTAGCAAGTGCCGTAAAACTCTTACTAAAACTAAAAAAACCATTTTCAATCAATCAGCCAATCATTTTGTGAAGTTGAAGTCTTAACATAAATATTTCGGTGTGTTTTTTGTTTTTGTTTTTTATTGTGAAGTGCTGTTTGAATCCTTATAATGCTATGCCCAGTAAGATAGAATATTGACGAAGAACTTTAGATTGTGTTCTTGCTAAGAGTTTGGGTTTTTTTGGTTTTTCTTAATTCTTTTCTGAAAGTACATTTTCTGTTATATAAATCATACACTCTTTTATCTCTAGCGTTGCATGACCAGTATAAGTAAGGTTTGTGTTTCTAATGATAAGGTTTTTTTTTAGAAATGCTCTGAGAAGTAAGCACAAAATGTTAACTCTGCTAGGAACAGCACGGCTTCTTTAAAATTACTGAACGTATCGTTCACTTACTTACTCGTTAAACTGAACCCAAGTCACCTTGACCGTCCCCATTTTTAATGACAGTGAAAGCAGTTAATAACAAAGAGTGAGCTTAAGAAGAAGTCACATTTTCACTGTTTAAAAAAAAAAAAAAAAAAAGGAGATACGACAAGAAAACATTGAGGTCGCAACTTGTTGAACTAAACCCAAGTGACCTTGACCTTCCCCAGCGGCGCGCCTGTCGCACACGGACTGCCACGTGGTGGAGATGGAGTACAGCCCCACGCTCGGCGGCTACAGCATGGTGCTCTCCTCTGGCCGCGCTGTCTTCGTCATCCCGCCATCCAACAGGGGAGAGAAGACGGTGAGACTCTTCGCCGTTTGCGAGCAGTATTGTGTACAGACGTAACTCAAAAGTTTACCAAAAATAAACTACGTCTGTATGCAATATTCTGCTGTAATCTGACAAAACGCACTTTTTTTTTTCCCCCCATTTTGGCGCCAAAATTTTTAATTTGCTGAATCTGATTAGTAACTTTACTTCTGTGAAAAAATCATAGTGAAACTGTAACTAGTTTTTGAATAAATTCAAATTCAAATTTCAGAATCACTCTATATTTAAAATGGGAAACTGCTTGTCAGCTTACAGCAACACTGCTTTGAGATGTCCCTGATAGGAACGGTTTAGTTAACGTTTCTGTCCTAGCTGTCTGTCTGCACAGTCAAAATTGTCCCAGACGACCCCCTCTTGTTGAGGAGAAATGCTTGTTGTCTGAGACAGGTGATTGTCTTGGACAGTGTTATGATATGGGACATTGTACGGGGGGGGGAAATAAGAAGTGGCCGTTTGTACAGGTGATTGTCTTGGACAGGTGGCCATTAGATCAGGTTCATCTGTATTTTACTATACTGCTGAACAAAGGTCCCTCTCCATATCTAAAACTGTTACAAAAGTGTCCTCTATAACTTAAACAGTTACAAGATTGTCACCTTAACTCAACAAATACAAATTACAAAATTGTCTCTATAACTCAACAAATACAAATTACAAAATTGTCTCTATAACTCCAACAAATGCAAATACAAAATTGTCTCTCTAACTCCAACAAATGCAAATTACAAAATTGTCTCTATAACTCCAACAAATGCTAATTACAAGATTGTCTTTATAACTCCAACAAATGCACATTACAAGATTGTCTCTATAACTCCAACAAATGCAAATACAAGATTGTCTCTCTAACTCCAACAAATGCTAATTACAAGATTGTCTTTATAACTCAACTATAAATGCATGGAACGAAAATGTCATTGGAAGACTATGGTCTTGCAAAATGAAAACCATTTTATCCTTGGGAGATAATTTTTTCTACCTGATTTTTTTTTTCATTCCCCAGACGGCCAACGGCGTGTGGGCTCAGGAGGTGAGCAACGCGTCCAGTGTGGCGGTCAACCACAGGTACAGACTCATCGCCTTCGGATGTCAGAGGTGAGCACTCACGTTCGTCTTCTTCCCACGTTTTGGGGACAGTTTTAAGTTTGACTTTTTATGAGTGACTGACAACATTTTTCTCTCGATTGGTTAATTGTTTGATGTCTGCGGTGTTCTGGTTGGGCTTTTTATCATTGCCAACAGTTACAGAAGACCAGAAGACTTGAGTTCAATTTTGGGTGTTTGGTAGGTGCTGGGGGTTGTTGTTGTTTTTTGGTAAGCGTTTTACGGCGCTCGCGTAAGGTTATATGAGCGCAGGGGACACATTAAACATTTTCAGTTGGTAGGAAATTTTTTATTTTGCTCAGGTAGCGGCCGAAGCCTACTCTTATTGATTTTAAACCCCCCAAGGGATCTTTAATGTGCGCAACTTGCACACAGGTCTGGTGTGGTTTG